TTAGACTTTGGACACCGTGTGGTCCCGGCATAGAATGGACCACCCCTTCTTTTCCAATGTGTATCATAAGAGGCGACTAAAGGAATTCAGCGGTCGAGAGATGAGCAGTAGGGTCCCTTTTTTTTTATACAACTTAGAATGGCAAACAACCTAACGGCCCACCTGATGAAAAGTTATAACCGTCGCCTATAGACATGAGCAGTACCATGGACATAACAGAGTATACTGTTTCGCCTATGATACCCCCCATGCGTTGCCATTCCTGAGGACTCAGGTGTTATTCCTCTGTACCCTGTAAATTCACGCCATATCCCACCCTTCAAACCGAAACACAGCCATACAAACACAACTGCTTCACGGCAGAAACACGAATGGGACAGAGGTACCCAAGCAATTGACTTTTGTACAAAGTTTCCCTCTGGTGATCTTAAAACAATTTAAAAAAATAATCAGAAATGTTTAAAATTGCTAAATTACTCTTAAAAACTTACACAGAATTTCGACATTGTTACTCTGTTAGTAACAGAATAATATCTTTATTTCTTCAACTGTAGCGATAACTACAAACGATACTGTTTTGTTCTATTATAATGATAAATTAATCTCTTTCTTGGAAACAAATATCAATATAATAAAAACTATAATACTACAACTGTATCTAGGTACAGAAATAAAAAGGGAGACTTGTAATTTAATTGTTTTTGCAAGTAACGTCCAGTCCAGATGGGTGACACATGACATTTAATTTTTTGCTACAACTTTACATCAAATTTATTTATCTATTTTTTTAAAATGTACATCAACAGTGTAAATACAGACATTAATTTTAATTGATATACAGGGCTTGCATCTTGTATTTACACTAATTACAGATGTGCACAACATTTTCTTAAGTCATCGATTACATATTAACAAAATTGACACCAACAAAACAATAAAAAAAACATACAAGTAACAAACATAAAAACATTTAAAATATACAATTATTAAAATTATTAGAACAGTGCGCACAGAATCAAAAATTATTGGTTGTGGTAAAATGATAGTAGTATTACGAGAGAACTTTTAGAATTTTACTCTTGAATGACTTGGGATGGTCGTGAAATATATCAAATTATTATATTAGTTTTAAAAAGGTCGCAAAACAAATTTAAAAGTGTCTATTTGACACTTTACTAATAATTTTAAGTCTCAGTCAATCTCTCGCGGGGTACTCGACCCTTACATTGTTATCATTATTATCTAGAGCCACCCTACACACATTAGTAAACTAAAAACACGCGATAATTCCTTTAAAAGCAATATGAATACAGTGTGTGCGGTGTGTTTTTTTTTATACAACTTAGAATGGCAAAGAAGCTGACGGTTCACCTGATGGAAAGTGGTAACCGTCGCCTATAGACATGTGCAGTACCATGGACATAACAGAGTATACTGTTTCGCCTATGATACCCCCCATGCGTTGCCATTCCTGAGGACTCAAGTGTTATTCCTCTGTATCCAGTAATTTCACGCCATATCCCACCTTTCAAACCGAAACACAGCTACAGCTAGTCGTTTGCTTGGGCCATTCGTATTTCAACCGTGAAGCAGTTGTGTTTGCACGACTATGTTTCGGTTTGAAGGGTGGGATATGGCGTGAATTCACAGGGTACAAAATAATAACACCTGAGTCCTCAGAAATGGCAACGCATGGGGGGTATCATGGGCGAAACAGTACCTATATACTCTGTTATGTCCATCGTACTGCTCATGACTATAGGCGACGGTCACCACTTTCCATCAGGTGGGCCGTCAGCTTCTTTGCCATTCTAAGTTGTATAAAAAATAAAAATAAACAAAAACTTCGGATATAAAAAAGGAAAATTGACAAATAATTAAATATTATTTGTCGGAGCGCCATCTTAAGATCAAGCAATATTTGACAATAAATCGCAAACCACGCATAATTTGAACAAGCAAGACACCCCGGTCGTAAATTGCACGCAGTAGAAGCGTTAAGCACGTACATCAGTCAAGTGGATATCGAGAGGAGCTTTCCTTATGATATGGCACTCCGGTGACGCGATCTCATAGATTTTCCATTTTGTCATTCGACAATAAATCATTCAACTATCTATATAAATAAAGATCAAATATGGTGTCTGTCGGTAAGCATGTTATTTGATAACGACTAGACCAATATAGTAAAAAATATTCATACAACTTTGACGTTAAGTAAAAATTTTATGAACGAAATACAATTATTACTAAGCTAGTTTTCGCCCGCGACTTCATCCGCTTGACCAGGATATGTAATATATGTTCATTGATAGAGATAAAAAGTTGTCTATGTTATGTCCATGGTACTGCTCATGTTTATAGGCGACGGTTACCACTTTCCATCAGGTGGGCCGTCAGCTTGTTTGCCATTCTAAGTTGCATAATAACAGTCCTTTTTAATCCCACATAGTACGTGTGAACCAAATTTCATAACAATTCGTCGAGTCGTTAAGGCTCCAAGATTCACAATACATTTACAATATTAGAAAAGATTCATGCAACTCGTTCTAAAATGTTTTTATTTTTAATCTGTTATAAAAGTTCTATTTTCGAGTCAATAGAAAAAAAAATCAAAAAACAATTCTTTTAGTTTTCATAAAAAAAATACACTTTTTAATAGTCAATTTATTGCTATTATTATCAGTTAAAAGGTTAGGCGTATATTGTGTTTAAATTAAATTGATTTTTTTATTTTATTTGCTTGATTAAAGTACAGTTTACAGATCAAAATGAATAGCCCACATCTTAATCTGCTACAATGTAAGTATGCAAACATTAAAACTTATTACACAGATAGTGAAATAAAAAGAATTAACATTCTCGAAATCAATTTTATTACCAATGATTGCATAATTTTTTTTTAACTATTTTACTAACATAAAGATAAAAGATTACTTTTTATTCCACTGCTGAACATAAGCCTTCCCCTTAGGGGGTTTTGCCAGTAGTTGCCACGCTTGGTAGGTGGATTAGCAACCGCAGTTAGACTTTGGAGATGTTTTAAGAGGGATGCTTCTGCCACCCCTATCCCTCCCTTATTATATATGCGAGTTATATAGTTACTTATATAAAGTTGGATGTAATTTACAAATTACTTTTGACCATTTTTATCTTTCAAAAATATAAAACCCATTACTCAGTGAACGAAGAAGTAACAAACTAAATAGTCCACTTACCTAACATTAAACTTAATTGCATTATAGTGACTTATAGAGCTTGGATATCCTCCAGTGCTGAAAAGTTAATCAGCTAAAAGCCTTTTTACTTGCAGGATTAAGAACTGAGTTAATTTATAGCGAATTGAAGAGTTTTTTTTTTTTTTTATTATTTTGCATCCTAATTAGCCTCGTAAAGAGGTGGGCTTCAAAAATGTTTTATTCCTCAGCTCATTATACCGCTGACCTGTGTAGAGCTTTTAATATTTTACTCCTTACATAATTATGGGGGAAATCTCCTTGTATTTTTAGTTCTATAATCAGTTTCCTTAGCGCAAGATTTAACAAGTGCATAATTACTTCAGAACTAGCCGTTTTCACAAACTTCGCCTGCGCAGACCTTTTTAACTTCCTTTGCCATCGCAATTTCGAATAATCTATTCTCAGTGCATTTAACGTAAGGAACCTGTTTCAGTATTTATAGTTTTAAGTGAATCTTTTTTTTTTACAACACAGGGGCAAATGAGCATCGGCTCACCTGATTGTAAGTGACTATGACCGCTCATGATCACCCACAACTCCAACGGTATTGTAGGTGTGCTGCCGACCTTTTTAAAAGGAATATGCTCTTTTCTTAAAGGTTATATTATCGTATCGGTTCGGAAATAATCTGTCAATGGGTTTGTTTTTATTAAATACATGTTAGGATGCATGGTTAATTTTTTTTTTATACTACATAGAATGTCAAACAAGCTGACCTGATAAAAAATGGTAACCGTCGCCTATAGACATGAGCAGTACCATGGACATAACAGAGTATAATGTTTCGCCCATGATACCCTCCATGCGTTGCCATTCCTAAGGACTCAGGTGTTATTCCTCTGTACCCAATAAATTCACACCATGTCCCACTCTTCAAACCGAAACACAGCCATGCAAACACAACTGCTTCACGGTAGAAATACGAATGGGACAGAGGTACTCAAGCAATCGACTTTTGTAGAAAGTCTATATGGTCGGTTTAAAGGTAAACCGCTATTACATTCTACAAATATTAATAATCGCTTGCTATATCAAAGGCATCACTCGTGATTTACTATCCTTTAATATACAGATCACTTATTCATAATTTAAAAAATTACAAGTTAGTTTCAATTAATTATGTCATTCCCATTCCAAATTTGTCATATTTTATTCTAATTTCGAGAAGTTATAAAGATCTTGAGTCACAGTGCCCAAATCGCTACCATATTTTACTTTAAATAGATACAATTCTCAGTAATGTCAGATAAGACCCAAAAGTTATATATTCGAATCTAATCAAGACAAAAACCCACAGTCGACTAATGCCTCAAGTTATTTCTCTCTCTCTCTCTTTATCTAATATATAAAATTCTCGTGTCACGGTATTTGTTACCAAACTGCTCCGAAACGGCTTTACCGATTTTTATGAAATTTTGTGTGCATATTGGGTAGGTCTGAGAATCGGCCAACATCTATTTTTCATACCCCTCAATGTTAAGAGTGACCCTCCCCAAAAAAATTTTTTTTTGACAAATTTTTACATTTGTATTTTATTATGATTGAACATTGAAAAATACATACAAATTCAAATTTTCACGTTTTTATGATCAACTCCTGTTTTTTAATCGCGATTTTTACAAGGTAAGGTTTATAGGTTGCAAGATGGCAATCCAATATAATAATTGTAGTAGGATAAATTTTCATGTATAGTCACGGAAATAATGTATATGGTAAAACAACGTTTGCCGAGTGAGCTAGTATATAGTATAAAATACTCACCAGAAATCCAGCCCAGAAGGACGAAGCCGAGCACCTTTACAAAATTAAAACCTCCCATTGTCTATCTCTTTCTATCTTCAGCTCAAACTACACGTCCACCATAATGCCGTCACTTTCACCAGTCAAATCAAAAACTTTTTTCACAGAATAATAAAATGTGTTACTCCCACCACAGTCTATTCGTAGAATACATTATCATCTTCTTTACACCTGAAACAAAGAAAATACATTATAATTAATATCATACATTATTTAGAGATACAGGTGGCTCGGAACTTCTCGGCAGTCTATGAAGGAGGCCTATGTTCAGCAGTGGACAGATAACGGCAGCGGTGCACTAATATGATGACGATGATGACTTAGAGATTTATATTTAGAAACAGATTTCCATCTCGTCTTAAAGGTCCAGAAACAAATTAAAAGTAAAATGGAAAGATTGGTTAAAATAGAATAATAACCCCGCTTGCGCTATCAATATAGGATTATGGTTGATGACGAAAGCAGGTTTATTAGCTCATCGCGACAAATGCCACAAAAGTTAAATACGATGGTTTTCAGAGAGAACGCGTGGTGGTAGACCTGATAGGTTATATTGCTAACAATGAGACTGCTAGATCCTATTACTAACGATCCCTTTCCCACACAAAATAAAAGGATGTAGTGAAGAGGGGCACGATAGAGTATCAGATATGTGATAGCTACATCGAGAACAGAGCAAAGCGTTGGAAAAAGGTCAGAAAAGCTTATATTTTTTTATTACTACTAGTTTGCCGCCCTGTTAGGACGGCAAACGGTTCACCTGATGGAAAGCAATTACCCTTATCATGACGCTTACAACACGAGTGGAGTTGCTTATGCATTGTCGACCTTTTAAATGTTTACAAGCACATTTTTTGAAAAGCCTATATTATACTCGTGTTGTAAGAAGAAATTTGAAGAAAGGAGATCATAACCCAGACAGATGTACAAGGTAGAAATGAACGGGATACACGAACAGTGGTAGTGTACCAAGCACCCAAAAATATGAATAGCTCTATGGCGAGAAGCACGATGGCAAAAGAGTAATGAAGACATCAAGACATATATATTTTGTTATTTATTATATTTTTAGATAAGTACCCTATATGGTTGCGTATATATACAGGATAGGTATATACCAAGAAATCAAGAGTCCCATTCTTTTGTTATCATCATTCAGAGATTTATGTTCTAACTTCAGTTTTCTCTGACACCAAAAAGAAAAATAGTGCATGACTAAGTTATTTAGCAACATCATGAAATACAAATTAACCGAAATTGTATGGCATAAAGATTTACAACATGTCTGAGGTCAGCGAATACAACATACCCTCAGGAAGACCTATGGTCTGCTATTCCAAGTTGAATATTTGGCATTCAAACTTTTGAACCACGTGATCAGATTCTAAAAATTCTTTTAGTAATACAAACATATTGTCCATGAATCGTATATTATATTCCCTCGGAAAAGATTTTCACATATTAATATGAGCAAAGTCACGGGAAACTACTAACAAGCTATAAATAAAATAATACTTATCAAAACCCGTTCCCCGCTTGTATGTAACGAGTTACGATGTACAGAGGCGCGGCAGCATGAATGATGGATGCTTCTATGGGACAAGCTGGAACATGTACAAAAATATACCTTTACTAGTATAAAAATTTATATTATCATACTAAATCCATTATAGGGTAGGCCCTGACAGCCGAGTACTAAATCATCTTTTTCTACATCTCTTGTTTTATCCACATTCATAAATGGGCTCATGCATACACGCAAGTTCTGGAGACTCTGACTCTTTTTCAGTCCTTAGGTTACTGTAGACAAGTCTAGATCTATCACAACTGGCAATGTCTCCAAAAGATATGATAACTGTTACTATTTTAAGGAATATAACACTCGGCTTGACTACATTTCACCGACCGTGTTTGAATTCAACGCAGAGTGTGAGCTTCTTCAGTTACGGTCGTAAATTTATATGAAGATAATGTTTTTGGTATCGACTAAATTCTATTGGGATCAAATCACGACAGCACCTTTGGGGTAAACACAGAAATTTCCATAAATACAGTCAGCATTAACTATAACATTTCATATCCCCCGTAACAAACTCCTTTATAATATACCCGTGTTACATTGCAACAAAACCACGATCTTACCCCTATACGCAACAATTCGACCCAACTTAATGTATGGAGCGAACTCAATCTGCGCACTTGACAAAGAATCCTACAACTCGATCCGACAATGAAACGTCCGATATTGAACCGGGACAATAGCCGATCCAGCATAAAACCGATCATAATGCCCGGGAGAAGTTAATTAAATACGTCCCGGTACTGTGACATTTTTCAATTGATACCGGAAGACTGATGGTTGCGGGTGGGCAGAAGTTCTTTACGGTTACGTATTCGAGGACTTACGAGTATTTCAGGATATCGAATTCTCTTATAAGAATATAGCCAAATTTAAAAATTGAATTTAAATAAAATTTAACTTTTTAAAATAACCTTTATTATTTCGCTGTGTTTGTTATGACTTCTTGATGGAACTTTATTATATCAACTATATTTTAAACAACACTACTGTTACACTACTGACCTTTCATTAACTCGTGATATATCTATTTAGTATGTTTCTCTATACATTTGAAATTTCTCGAAGTACCCACTTATACATAAGTTTATAAATACGCATAAAGAAGAAATTTCGAAACCAGTTGCGTATATAAATAGTAAAAAAATAAAATAAAATAATATTATGAGATATAGTCGAAATTTTATTTAAGTAGAGCCATACAATAGGTCTTATAAATCATCACTTTTTAAGATTCCACTATAGATTCAGAAACTTATTGGTTAAGAATAGAATAGAAAATATTTATTGCCAGAAAAACACATAATTATAACAGACAGTGATATTATGTACATAAGAAGTGTCTCATATTAGGCAAAAGAAACTGGCTCAGCTGATGCTGTGAGTGTCCAAGTCCAATGTGCACAGCTGCACAGCGCTGGTTTTCAGCCAGTCCCTCTCTTATCGAAATAAAACAAAAATACAAAAGGGTAGAACTGCAACTGCATATTACAAGAATGTGCCCTTTATATCAATACAATGTTTAACTCCATACAACCAGAATGTGATATTATAAAAAAAAAAAAGGTTAGGAAGAAACCACAAGAAACTCAATAGAGAAATATCTTCCAATATAATGTGTAATTATTGTTTTGTTATAAACTAACTCGATAGACCATGTCCTCGCAATGTAAAGAGAAAGCATTGATATTTATATTGAAGTTTACTATGACGTCTCAAACTTTGTTAGCATCAGGATCAGGTAATTAAATCTCTGAAGCTCTTTGCACATACAAGCAATTATAGGACCGTATACAACCTTTTCAGTGCTTTGATGTCATATCATGACATAATTTAAATACTTGAAAAACATAACGAACCCAACACATTCTATTTCGCAAAAAGTAGCTTTAATCATGAACACACCCACCCACACGCTCGCACATACGTACTCTCTCACGCATACACACACACACACACACACACACACACACGGGGAGAGAGAGAGAGAGTCAGAGAGAGAGAGAGAGAGAGAGAGAGACCCACAAACAACCAAACAACATTACGATTTTATACATCAGTAAACATTAGATTCAAAATATTTACAACGCAGAATCGACAGAAACATTTAGGCTTAGAAAAATAACAACTTCAATAGTCACGAAATTAAACATGGAATTACAAAAAAAAATATAAGGATAGGTTTAGAATTAGCAACATAATCTGGTAACTTACCTGCAAAAATTCAAAACCTCTTGTTTTAGAAGGCATTTCAAAATTTTGCAATCAAGATATTATTAAATTTGGCTTATTAATTTTACAAGACAATTACATTTGAGATCTGGCCTCAATTAACACATAAGATATTTTCACCCTAATTCACGCACGCAAAATCACGGATTCCTAATAAGTATTACATAAAATAAAAGCTAACCATAGACAACCGTCTACAAATAGCTAGTACTATCTCATTTCCAGTATTAATATGAATAAAACATAGACTAAGAAAACAATGAACACCACACAATAAAATAATAAGCTTGTCTCAAACATTTCAAGCATTGCCAATAAAGAAATTAACTAATATCTTCAACGCAGATATGAAGTGATTCAGCCGATTTTCTTTTGAAATATGACCCCGATAATGTTTTTTATCCGGTGTCATCTCAAACTTTATTGGACAGATTAAAAGCTTTCTGGATAGAATCGTCGAATCTCGCTTGACCGAACACCCTAAGGATAAGTTGACAATGGGATTACCTCCTTGAATTAGCTTTAAGATCGTAGATATACCGATTATGGTTTAAAACGATTTGAGTCGCTGTTTGTGCGTCTTGGTGGAACTTTCTCGAATAATCTGTTGTCAGATATGATCGTTATGAAGACATCGTTTTGAATAATATTGAATATAATCTGATCGCAACTGTAATTCCATGTTAAAATCAATGGCGTTTTGTAGGTAGTCCACTTTGTAATATGACATATCGTATCTTCAAACTTATTTCGGATAATTCAACTTGAAAGAATTAACAAAATTTCATCGATGATCCAAGACTGGTACATTACAATATTCCGCAAGGCTCTATATAGGAAAAAACCTGCAAAAAATAGACTGTTCCTTTTTTAAAATATGTAATTTACAAAGTACAAACGATAGAATATACAAAGAGAGGCGATGTCACGCTACAGTCTTAGGAAATAGATACCTATTTATAGATTTCCATTTCAAATTCTTTCTTCCCATTATATGTAAAGAGTTTCCATTTAGCTCGCCTTCTCTTATCTGAAGCAAAGTTGAATAGCCCGGAGCACTTTGCGGTAAAACATTACTAGCTATTCCGACGACTTTACTCGTCATTAAGAGTTACTTCGATAACGATTATTTCCTGGAATGTCTCAATGCTTTAAAGTACTTATTGAATAGTTTCCACAGATGTAGTACATAAAATGGAAGATTTCAAAGGATACCATTTAATTATTAAAGCGAAGTATTTAAACCAAGTATTATAAATCCTTACTAATAATGATAAATATAATAATATATTCGATTGTAACTTTATACAGCTTTAACGGTTACTCCAAAATCATTACGAAATTTAGCATACACGTTTTT